GCTACACTCAAACTAGCAAACAGCCCAGGGCCAGGGACCATTTTCTGGCTCTAAATCCATCCGGGGTGGTCTAGCCACAGCTGTAATATTAAATCCTTTTAGTCTCCACAATGGGGTGGCTGCCTCCAAGCTGCCCACGGGAACAGGTTCGGGACTCTGCTCATTCCCAAACCACAGCTGGGACCTGTTTGCGACCATGCTGGCCAACCCAGCTCAAAACCAACCTCGCTGACAATTTAACAGTACCGATATTTAACAGCCCTGTGTAATTTATCGGTAAATATACTACTTTCTGGCCATTTGAGTTCACTGGATTGGGTCCGCAAACTTCTTTTGTTTAGAAGCTGAGCCCAGCATGTCCCTCACCTATCCAAGCATGTCTTTATTCAATGATATAAACTGAATATAAATATAAAGACAACAAAACCCACCCTGCACGCTGTGGGGACCCCAGCGCGTGGGACGGGAGAGTTTGGGCATGGTGGCACAAGGCCAGCATCCCCAAGTGACACCTATCTGCAAAGAGTGTGGGCCCAGGGCTGGAAAAGGTAGGTTTGGTGATTTGTCCTGCTATTTACATTCAGTTTCGATTTTCTCCTTTGTCATATAGGCATTTCTCAAACACAGTTGCATAGGACAGGCTCTTCCACAGCCAGCACTGAAGGTGTTCATGTTACACTTGCAGGGCAGGTTCTCCAGCATCTTAAGACCTTGAGCCCACAAGTCCCCCTCAAAGGTGAAGCAAAACCCAAGGGACTAGCATGTAGGCAGAAGGGTGAAGAAGTCCAGGAAAAGCGTAGGGGAAGAAGAAGTTTCTCCACCTCCCCTCTCAATATTCTCAACAAAATTAAATTCAAGTTCAGAACTCAACCCTGCAATCACAGAGCAGCTAGAGGTCAGGGTGAGGGAGACCACAGCAGGGTTAAGCCAGGACTGAAGGCTGTGATACGGATACGTTTATGGGACAGTTAAATCATCTCTTAAATAACCTCACCAAAGGCAGACTATCAGATCAGACGTGTCCGTACCTGAAGTACTCACCCAGTCTGGCTTTAGAGCCCATGAAGACAAACAGGCCCTTCCAAGGCACTGCCAGGGACCAGTACAGCTCATCTGCAGACTGGTCAGGTCCTGCAAATGCCAGTTTGTCCCCACTGACTCAAAAGGGAGCTGAGGGTGACTGTCTCAGATACGGATGTCTACCCTGGGGACAACTATACCCATACCTCCCTCACCTGCTGCAGAGCAGCCCTCTTGTGACTGCAGGAACAACCCGACCTGTACTCCCTGCTCTGAACCTTGCATGTGCTGAGGACTTGCTGGATCAGTCCCAAAGCTTTATGTAAAACGGCTGCGATGTGTATTTATATGAATCATATACATTAATTACATAATAGACACTCATGCTCCCCATCCCACATGCACTCTGGTTATGCATAGGACACAAAGACCGAGTGCATTCGCTATGAATCATTCAATAAGACTAGGTCCCTCAGGCAAAACTCTCTCTAAAATGACCATGTTCATATATTCCCATGGTTTCCACTACAATATTATTTAATTAAGAATATTAATCTGCTAGGCCACCAACTTTCACTGTCTTCTGGGGAAGTCTGAGCAGACAGATATTTTAATAAAACACGCGGAATCCAGCTACTTTTATGACTGAGTTGGTGCAATAAGGTAAGTTAGTTGCATGGCCTCATGAGCTTATTTTTTATTTATTCTTGATATGAACATGAGACACATGCACCAGAGAAACCATTGGTTCAAAAGTTGCATGAGTGATGCCAGATAATTCTTTTTTGCTTTGCTTTTCAGCTATTGCTGTTGAAAACTGCCCAAATACGGGTGACACATCATTAATTAGTTGTACAACACTGCAAATACAGCAGTGGTCCCCATTTAGAGAATAAAAGATGAGTAATTGAAGTTTGACAGCCATGGGCCCTCATTTGCACGTGCCTGCAGCACCCATGCAAACATTTCAGTTGTGCAAAGAAATCAGTCTAGACACTGACACGACCAGTTCAGCCACGTTATACCGGCCTGACCGAATAACTCCTCAGGGTTGCAGCCTGCTGCCCTTTTCCCCTCTCCCATGGGACAGAGAACTGCATGAGAACTCCAAGGCCAGGTTAGATGGGGCTTTGAGCAACCTAGTCTAGCGGAGGCTGATCCTGGCCATGGCAGCGGAGTTGGAACTAGATGATCTTTAAGGTCCCTTCCAACTCTAACCATTCTATGATTCTATGAACGGCTGTGGCAGTCCCCTGTCATCTCCTGTCCTACAGCCCCAAACCTCTTCTGATGCTCAGTCTAAACCTGGGATTGAAACACAGGTGTTCTCATGACCAAGAGATGTACGCCTCCCAGGACAGGGAGGAACACCACCGTTTTGGCCATGGGATGGGTGTGTTTCTGGTCACAGGAGTACCATCAAAAATAGCTCTTGAGGGCTGCCACTGACAATACAACCAGGAACCACGCTTCTGAAGGACAAATTGCTTTATTAGATGGTATATTTTCAATGTCTGGGTGAGCAGAACTTAAGCAGTTGTCTAGGCAGAGGCATGGAGGCCTGTGGAAAGGCTGGGTGATGTGAAATTGTGGCATGTAGGAAGTCCTGTGGCTGTAGGTGTGACATCCAAGGCCTAAGGGGGAAGTTTTACCCATTTTTCCTCCTGCATGATGTTAAGCAACAGGCAGTAAATATGGCATTCATTAAAATTACCTTGTATACTTTTAACAGCCTTGATAATCAAATTTCTGCCACTGTATCGGAAAGCAAAGTTTGTTTTTATTCAAGGCCTTGTAAAACTCTAATTTCTCCCTCATGCACGGGAGGTGCCTGAAGTTTTCAATGTTTTTAGTGTTTCCTACCAGCCACTTTTCCCCCCATCAAAGCTCTGCTCTCATCTGAAAGTGGTATCACGTAACTGAGCGGAGATTTGCATTTCTCCGTGTGCGAGGGATAAACTGGTTGCTGTAAGTGGCAGCTTTACACTTGCATTTCTCTCTACTTTATACACAAAAGGGGTCGGATCCTGCCCTCCCTCCCTGTGGCACTGCTGGGTAGAAACCCTTGAGAGGAACTGCTGCAGCTGCAACGCACCTCTTTGCAGCCTGATCATCAGAGCTCGTCCTCCACCCAGGAACGCCACTCCGCATTTCCGAACGTCAGCAAACACTGCAGACAACCTCTGGCACTTGTGGAAGATCAAAGTCCCCTTTTTCAATCTCAAATCTAACTGGAAGCAAGATCCCCATGCTGGGAAAAGGGAAGAGCATCGCGGAGGCGTCGGTCGAGCCCCCGAAAGATGAAGGGGAAAAAGCATGAAGGCAACCGACTGTAGAGCGCAGCAGAAAAGTTCAGTCCGCGGCCACATAATGTACACAGCCAGGGCTTTTAGTCATTCTGCCTGTGCCCACACGCCAGGCGCTCACGTCTGAATACACACAGACAAGCAAGGGCTGCAGGGCAAGTCGGTGGTGGTACAGCTGCTGCAGTCCCAGCCCAACCTCTCCTGGAGGTATTGCTGGGGGCACAATTGCAAAAATAACCCATTTGACAACACAGACCATCAGGAGGAGGCTCCAACTCAAAGGGAACCTGTTTCAGGCCAAACAAAGCACTTCCTCAGCATCAAGCCCGTCAAGTTTTTTGAACGAAGTCAGCGCGTTGCAGGGAGAGCCCGCAGGAACCTGCTCCACCGCCCTCCAACCCTCGGCCCACATGGAGATGTTCAGCATCTCGGAGAAGGCAGATCGTGCTAGGACCGCAGAGGGTTTTGCAGCTGTTTGTTTGAGAAACAAAGCTTCCCTCCTCCAAGATGAAAGAAATCAAGGAGTCTACGCTAATCAAATCCTACACGCCTGCTGGCTGCAGTTCAGCGTGTCAGCGATGCAGCTCGGTGGAGGGATCAACGTTTCCAGAGCTATGAGCTTGGTGGAAGGGGAAAACACGACAGCGAGAAATTCACCTGGCTGCGAGTCAAACAGGTGTATGGCAGCAGCATCCAAGATTATAATAATATCTTGCAAACATGCAAAAAATAGATGTAATAAGACTGATTCTTTGGTTTTCATTAATGAATCATAAAGGCTTTCTTTACATTACACATGCTTTTTTGGCATACACTGCTAACATTTCCACACTTGCAAGGTCGGAGTTTTAATACTGAGCCTCCCTCCCCTAAGGTTCCTCATTTTTGGCAAGATATACAAGGTGACTGTGTGCCATGACAGGCTCTATCTTACTTTGGGGCAATCAGATTACTTCACACAGATGGTTTTATCACTGAGACCATTAGAGATGAATTGCACAGTATGTAAATGTACATTTGTTTGATAAAAAAAAAAAAAAGTCTCAGTTCCTTGCTGCTGTCTTGTCTATGTTCCTAAACATATTTCCTCTCTCCTGCATCATTCCAAAGCACAATTTGTCCGATCTTTACCCTAAAGTGACTCAGCTAGTTTCTGATAGGCATCTTAAGTACACATTAACTAAGGAAATAGGCTTTCTTGAGCTACTGGATTGCAATGCAGAAGAATGAACCTTAGCCTTAACTAGTGAAGAAATAAGTCATCTGCCTGTCAGGATGTTTAACATCACACACACCACAAACGTAAAGCACCAAAAAATAGAAAATATCACAATTACTTTAAAACATGCAAGTAAACTTCCTCTTGTAGGGGCAAGAAAAAAAAAAAAAAAGAAAAAAAAGAGAGAATTCGTTCATAGAATTAAGTTCACTATTTAAAAATAGTCTGATCAGAAAAGGACCTAGAGACATTCAATTGATACACGCTCAGATCAACACAACAGCTCTTCCACTTCAAAAAAAAAGGGACTTTGACCCCCGCCCGCCGTGCACTAACCCTGTTATCACCGACTGAGCTTTGCTCTTCTTATTAAGGTTTGTCTGAGGCCACGGAGGCAACCTCTGCCAGTCCTGTTCCTATCTGCATAATTGTTTTAGGCAAAACACAGTCTTTACCTGAGAGGCGTCTGGGCACATCGGTGATGGCTGGAAGTCCTGTACCTCGAGTGGAGGACAGAGGAGTTGTGGAGTGAATGGACGGTGAAGTCATCTGGCTCAAGTAGGATGGGTACGACTGGTCATAGGACCATGGCGGGGATGACTGTGCCTGCCTGGGGTCTAGGGAAAAAAGAAAAAAAAAACCACAAAAACATAATTGTTTTTAAAAAGGAAGAAAAAATTTAGGGAATCAACAGCCTAATTGAAAGAGGTGGGATTAGTGAACACACATACATCAGTCCTACAAGGAATGAGAATATAATGAAACACAACCTGCTCCTCTAGGACTCAAGTCTCGCTCTGTGCTTTTTCCTCACCATAATAAGTTTTTTGGGGAAATGAATGGAGCAGTGAGCCGAGTTTTAAAAGATCTAGCAGCTGTGCTGCAAATTCCTGGTGTCTCTTGTCCAGGTCTAACAGTGTGTTATACCAAGACTCACCAGTCCTCCAGGATTCGGCCAGGTAAGCAGACAGCAAGTACAAGACCCAGGTCTGAGCTTAGGGAACGGACTTCAGAGGTGGGGAAACTCTACAGCCAGCACTTGGCAAGGCTGTCAAGTTGTTATCCAGTTCAAACATTACACAGTAGTGTTTTCAGTGCTGAAAATACTATCCAAGAAGGAAAATGTCATTAATCTTATCAGCATCCATCCAAAAAATGTCACATTTGGATGCTGGCCCAATTACCTACAGCCACCTCAATTACAACAGCATGAAACCAAATGGTTTGGGATAACTATTGGAAGCTAATGATGCCTTTTGATGTACTTGCTACAGCTCACTTTGGAGGAAATTATTTTAAGGGTAAATACAGTTTATTTTTTGCTGAAGCACTGGTGGATTGCCCTGAGTGAGAGAGAGACAGACTTAATTTTCCTCACTGCTGTTTGGATTTATAAGCCATTGCTCTCACTTAATATCTGGTGATAAAGATACCACTGAATGCCTCATAAATTATTATTTTTATTTCTTTACTTTGATGAAACCAAACTTTCAAGCCCAAAGTTTGGTTTGGGCACTGCACGATAAACAGAAAACTGCTTCTGAACTGGTTCATAGGAATTGTAGCGCATCCCTCCAAATTCTCCCCAGTATTTTCAGTGATGCACATCAGGTCCATTCAATTTGGAGAACCAGCTATATCAGAGCACTGTGTCAGGGCTCTACTTTGCAGACAGCAATGTGATAGCCACATGGCATAAGCAAAAGCACTTCTTCAGGAAATTCAACTTTTTTTTTTCTTTTTTTAACTCCTTTCCCTGCTCGTCCACACAGCAAAACCTTGTCGTTTCAGCTATTCCATGTTTATTTTTTCTGTTCAGACATGATTTGTTTGAAGAGATGTCTGGAAAGCAGATACTTCCTTGAAGCAAAATAACTATATAGATATATAAAAAAAAACCCCAACTTTCCAATTTAATTTTAAGAGGATTTTCCTGGAGTTTGCCATTTATATTAGAGCTAAGTAATATAAATGGTTAACATAAACTCCTCAGAAATCCGAAGGACACTTGATCATTAAATGTAATGAACTTCTTTGTTTTAACAATTTCAAGGCTAGGGTTGTATAGATTGGCGCAGGTTCAAATCTGACTGACTGCTCGTTGTTATATCTGATATCGACATATTTCTCTGCCTCATTCCACTACTATAATTCACCATTCAGTCAATGGTAAATGATCTTCAACTGGGAACGGAAAGCCTAGGCTTGCTGGGAAAACAATCTTAAAATTAATGATGTGTCAGGAGCACAATCTCAAATCCAAGCTCCTTCAAACTCCAAGAGCTTTTCAATCTCTGCTTCCGAATCCAAAGCAGAGTCCCTTAAAATTTTGGTTTTAGGTCAGCCCCAACGCTGAGAGGAAATTATACAGCAGGTAAAGGCTAGGAAAAAAAATCACGGCAGAGGATGTTTTCACAGGATTTTGGCCTAAGATGGTGAAGAGGTCAGTAAAGGAGCTGCCTTTTGGAGGGTCATGCCACTTCTGGTAGTGCAGTCCTCATAGCATGAGAAGATCTTGAGCATCTCTGGCACCCTCACCACTTTGAACACCCACGCTAGACTTGTTTTTACGCCTAACATCCTTAATCCAACAATCCACAGACAACCGTGGATGTCTGCGCAGACACAAGAAGGACAAATGGCAAGAAGTGGTCTTTCAAAACAGTACCTTGTACTGCACTGCCAGAGGCACAATATGGAGCGGGATGGACCATCAATTCACCCAAAAACATGTAATGTACTCTTATGATATCTAGCTTAAATTTATACACAGCTTCTATAGCTCATTCCAACCTCAGAGCCACAATGCCACATTTCCATGAGTCCAGTACTGTGAGATTTTAAACTGCAAAGCGTTTTAGAGAAAAAGAAAAAAAAGAGGATGGACTGTTAGCGAAGACACTGTGCTGTGGCTTATCTGCTTCTGGCCCTGAACAGATCTCCTGTTGGAGCTGGATAACTCACCCAACATCCATTTGATACAATTTCTACCTAAATTTAAGGACAATAATGATATATTGCATATTTAGTTGGTCGTTTTCTTAAGGTGCAGGCACTCTCTGAGGACTACACTCACAAAAGAGGGTGCTTATCTTGGCTGGACGCTTTCAACCCAGATATTCAGGTACAAACTTCATCCTCTCTGAAACTAGAATGCAATCAGCTTAGCTCCAGGGTAATGAGATCATGTCTTCTCAGGGAATGGGAAATAATAAAGAGGAAAATCCCCAACCCAATAGAACATCAGATGATGCATCGGAGCTCAGTGGCTGAGGAGAAGGTCGCAACACTCCAGGCTGGAGGGTTACTGCGGTTCCTCCACACTGAAGCATGGCTGAGGTCACGGCTGAGGTCACAGCTGAGGCAGGGTGGGGGATTTTGCCCTGGGGCCAACTGGCTTCAAGGGTTATCTTTGGCCCACTAGGAAACCAGAAAGTGAAGGTACCAATTTCACCAGAATGAATGCCCTAAAACCAGCCTGGCTGACTGACAGCCGCAAAGGGTTGCATGGACATGAGAGGAGAGAGTACCTAAATGCCTTCTCCTTGCCAAATCAAAGGTGATCTGCTAGTCCACAGGGTAAACGTCACTGCTCGGTGGTGCTGCTCAGTCCTCAGAGTAAAATCTCATGAGGCAGAGTCCAAAGCTGCCCCATCTAGTCCTTGAAGACAGACATGCAGCTGGGTCTCATGTGACACCCTTTGGTCCCACCAGCTGACGTTCCTTGCAATGCTGCTGGAGCAGAGACTTTGGCTGCCAAGGCCCAACCAACCCATCTCTTCTGGTCCCACATGCCACCAACCCAAACCTCCTGGGGGAAGGGAGGTGCTGGGAGCACCACGGAGAGGTGCCAGCTGCCAGAACAGCACTTCCAGAGCAGATCCATGCAGATGCTTCTGAGGGAAACACAATGAGGGTCACCTCCTCCTCGCTTGGGCACATAAGATGTGGAGTTACTATTTAGCACATATTAGCAGAGAAGAAGCTACAAGCAGATTTATGAGAGGTTTTCCTTGGCCTCCTACACCAGAGACCAGCTCCCCCATTTGCTCCAGCCAGTGGGTTCATGCGTGTCCTCCGGGTCCCTGCAGGTCAGGCGCTTTGCACCATCACCCGAAGCACCATATGCTCTGCAGGCACAGCACATCTTCCCAAACACAAAAAGCCCAGAATAGATGAGAAACCTTAAAGCTCTGAGGCAGAGCAAGTGTGGATTCCTCCCTAAAGGAATCCCTCCAAAACAAGGCAAAAATCTAATATAAAACCACAGTAAACAGCTCGGGAAAAAGCCCCCCATCTTCCCGTACAACAACCGTGGGGAAGGGCTAGCAGAGCATTCAACAACAGCAAAAGAGGCAGAGGGCCACTTTGAGTTGGCATTTGCACTTGAAAATTTTGGAGTAATTACTAAGAGCAGTCCTCCTTTTGTAAACATTTCTGTTATGCCTGCGTGGGTGTGAAGAAAAGAGCGGCTTTCAGCATATTCGTTCACAACAGGGCATATCGTGTGTATGCTAAGAAAGCCTGGGCACAGCTCGGCTGAGACAAGTCAGCGGGGCGAGGTCTAAACTAATGCACAAACAGCTCCGTCCTGTTTGCACTTCCAGGTAAACCTCGCTGAAGCAGGAAATATTGAGTATTGCAAATTATTTTGTGTCTTGGTTTTACTGCCACGCTTAGTCAGTGGCAGATATAGATGGTTCTTGATCCTTGTGGTCTGTGGTTGACTGCATCAATGGACATTGATGCTTAATGGACAATGAACAGTTTTAAAAATCAGTCTAAGATTGGATGCACTGTATAAAACTAAAAAAAAAAAAAGAAAGAAAGAATGAAAAAGAATGCCAGTGACCCATTCTCCCACTGATGATATTGGGTCTCCAACAAAACGTGACTTCTATTCCTTCAATGGAAATGTTCTGAAGTGTCAATGGAGAGAAGAAAAAAACCTGTAAACAGCCCTGAAAAATGACTTTTCTGACTGCTTGGGCACTGGATTATGAAGCACACGGATTTATTATAGAAAAAAATCAATTTCCCATTTCCCAAGCTGAATTACACGATCAGACCATGCTCACAGGCTCGTAGCTCCTCAGCATATCGTCTGTAACACCCCAACGTCACACGCATGCACACACTTTGCAAAATCACCCACATTTAAATCCAGCCATCAGCTCTAGCACTGGCTGCTGCTGATTGTATTAGTGCTACTGCCGCTACTAAAAAACAACTGTCTGGAGCTATCTTTGGTAAACACTTAAAGCATTTGCTTTAAGCAAAGCGTCCTCACTTCTGATCTTAACAAAGCCAAGATGACTTTCTGCAGGAGTAACCCAACTATTGTTGTAACACCCCCCTCCCAGCAAAACACCACCACCACAAATGCAACCTCCTTCTCTTCACTGACTATTTCTTAGGCACCTTTCAAAGCCCAGGGCTTGATCCGAATTGCCCAGTTCGATCAATGAAGTCAAACCCAATGGAGTTACACCCCAATGCACAGAGGTGTAACTGAGACCAGATTTTGGCCTGAAGAACCTCTAAAATAATTTCTCCTCCCTGCCAAGAGTCACACTTCCAAAAGAAAAAAAAAAACCAACAAAAAACTGAACAAGTCATACCAGTAGGGAAACAAAATTTTAAAGCGGGGGGGGGGAAATAAAGTTAAAGGAATACTTTAACAGGAGGGACACAAGCTTTACCAAATGGAGGTTCACAATGGCAACTCGCCAGTCACCTGAAGGATGCAATCAATTTGTATAAAATACAGCGGACTGCAGCCACCCTTGTGTTCATGGCAGCAGAAATCCAAGCTCCACCACCTCCTCCACACAGTTTTGTAGCTTTTTTTTCCACGTACAGTGAGCTAAAGGCAAAATTCACCCTATAAGCCTATTACTTGTGCTGTTTCTAAATTATCTGTTCCAGGCAACCACGTATTTTGTTTGATGGGCTCTCAGATTGATGTGCATCAGCTACAAACTGGTGTGTGCTTCAGAGTGCTGCCGGTCCCAGGTAAAACACAGCCAACCCCTGGCAGGACACTTGCATAGTGCTGGTCTAACAACAGCTACTCTGTTTTTGTTTCCAACCTGTCCTGCAGCTGATGGGTCTCGGAGAACAGACACTGGTCTTTGAGGCAGATGCTGCACAGCTGCATATCCAGAGCGCAGGACAAGGCTGTGATGAGCACGGCTTTCTGCCTTTTCCCCGACTCTGCAAAAGGGCAGCATCCAGCCCATCACCTGCAAGTCCTGAACAGGGGGAATTAAGGAAAGCCCAGCTGGTACCATCCTCACCCTCCACCTGAGAGTCAAAGGTGCTTTCTGCCCATGCTCTTCCTCCCAGCAGACTCAGTTTACGCTGTCCCTGAAACCAGTCCCTGCCTGCCAGTGGAGATGGGTCCCTGCACTAACTCCCAGGTAAGCCTTTAAATCTGCTTCCTACTACCCTAAAAATGATGAGAAACTGAAGCACAATGTCGCTGAAGCGCATAGGGAGGGGAAGAGGAAAAGGAAAAAAAGATTTCACGGGACCTGCTTTCGAGTGCTGTTATTTCAGTGATGAAAGTCACAGGTTGCCTATAGATCAGATGGTCCCACAGCGGTGATGGAGCATGAAACCTCACTTAACTCCCACTTTGCTGTCCCTCAGCCCAGCCGATGGGGTCCTCACACCGAACACATTCCTGCCTTCCGCCCATGGCTTTTCCCGGCCGATAGAAGCTAATCCTCACCAGTTGCATTTTAGAAAAACAACAGTTTGCCTCGTTTCGTACTGAAACACTGATGCAACAGCTCTGTGTCTGAACGGGAATGTAATCGGATACGTGAGCAAGTTGTGCGAGTGCCGTTAGGGAAAGGGGAGGGGAAAAAAAAGCAAATATACCAGTATCCAAATGTGAACAGACAGGATTCCTGATTTACGGGCAGCAAGCAGGGTTCAAATTGAATCTGCATTGCCTCAGCAAAGGCATCTGCTTATTGGACGATTTGTTTTTTAATGACCCTTCGATGTTGCTTTTGCAGAATCCTAGTTAAAATGCCATGTTGAATAAGGGCAACTCTGTGCCTTGTACTGCCACAGCCAGGTCCTGTGGTAGGTTTAAGACTGTGCCGTGATTTGTAAAACCTGTACTCTGATACTCAAGGAAAATAAACACAACCTAGACAGAGAAAAGAAATATAAGAGTGAACCCCAAAGTGCTGAGTTCTTTCAGACTCAGGTGTGGGCCAGCCAGGCTTTAAATATTATTTCTGTTTAATCATGCAATAGCTACGCAAGACCTCAAGTGGAACGAAACAAAAACAGTTTATGTGCTTACTAGCAGTAATATGGATTTTGTCATAGGAAACCAGTATTTACTGTTAAAGTTATTAGGAATTAATTATTTTCCCTAAATTACTAGGTAAAAAGATTAAGAAATAAGGGTATTTCTAAAGGAATGCTTGGTTAATTCTACTAAAGGTAATAAAAAAATCCTTGCTTTTCAGACAAGGGTCTATTCTCCTTTCAATACATACCCAAGCCGTAACAGCCCAGTGACCATGCTAAGAAGCCAGTGGTATTCCCACTGAATATCGCACCACAACAAGGAAACTGGTGGAGATGGACAGCCCAAACAGCTCACTCCCTACTACCACACCAAACAGGCGGACGTTTAGCAATTACCCACGGTCATCTAACACCCGATCAAAGAGGTGCCTTGTCTGCGGCATCACCTTTGTCTCTCCTTGGCACAGTTTGTGTGGCAATGAGCATCCACTCATCCCAGAAGAACTCGGAGGGACTGTCCACAAAAAGCAGCCCAGCACTTTAGTGGAACATCAAAGTGCATAGAGCTTTACAGATTACAATCAACGTCCCGAAGAGCACCAAAAAGCCTTGTGGGAAAGGCAGCACAATTCACAGATCTTGCATCGATGTAACATGCTCATGCTGAATCACCTTATTAAATGGGAGGGCTACCAGAAAGCTAACGAGCAGCCTTTGAGGGCTGGGTGTCTGACTTTTCTAAATTGAGGAGAGGAGGGTAGGGAATAATATGGCAAATACTGTATCAGACCACTTACTTCACACTTTCTTAAGCAGCCGAGTCCTCACTGTTTTGAGGGAAATTAGAGCAATTTGAGATTCTAAAGCATCCCGCGACTGTGAGTTTATCTGGCAAGAAAAGTACATAATCCACAATAGATGGGGAAGTCAGCCTGCCTTCCTTGGTTCAGCTCACTTCCCTCTGCCCTACCTGCACCACATCTCCCCTCTCTCAATGAAGTCTCAGCTGGTACTTTGAACCGCTGACTCTTAAATTTGCAGAGAAGACAGCGAACGCCACACAGCTTCATTTCCAGTCAGGCTTATTTAAAGCTCATCTGAAGTTTTCACCTCCCGGATCTGTAAATGCTGCTGCTGATTCATAAGGAGGCAGAGAAGTACTCTATTAATCAAACCCAGCAGAACATTTTCTACAGGAGGCATTTATGTGAATGAGAGCAGCATATGAGGTTACACTTAGCTAGGAAGAAAATTACAAGGGGATCTCAGTTCTCGTGCTTCAGGGCATAAGCTGATCACCAGATGGGGTCAGGAAGAATTTCACCCTCCTTCATTCCTAGATATAGTGTTGCACAATAGGTAAACTATGGAGGCACAAGGAAGAAGGAAAAAAGCTGATTATAGCCCCAGATTTTCCCTCTGCTTTCTCAGGAACAACGTCCCCCAAGCATCGCCAGACAGAAGACAGTATGTTAGAAAAAACCTTGGGCTTTAGTTTGGCAGATCTTACCCAGAAAATGATACACACAAGAGCCCTGACTTCACATGTCCAACAAACAAAACACTAAGCCCGGCCAAAAAACCTGCTCTGGGAAGCTGGTGGGCAGCAGGTACCTTGTAATGGGTCCTATGGAATATATTTACTATATTGTAAACATTTTGTGCTAGTTGAAGCTAGACTTCTGGATCTGGGACAACTTTGCCACAGCTGATGTGAACAATTTTTTCGTTTCAATTCTCTGAGTGCTTTGGGTTCAAATTAACCCACTCACTTCTCTTCCTTACTGCAAATTAATAAACCCGTTGAACTTAAAAAAGAATAAAAAGAAAGAAGAAGAAAGCCACAACACTTTGTTAAAACCACTAAGTTTCAGCTGGTATCATGTCAAAACCACTTGAAACATGAAACCAGAAATCTTCCTAGGTTGACACAAAGACTATGTATATACTAGGAGTGCTTTACCAGTAAAGGAATACTGGTATAGGAGATTGGCAAAGGTCTCCTAGTATAGATGCAACTGTAGCAGCAAAACTGAGTTTTAAACTAGTCTAGTAAATCGAGCCCAGAGTTTTGTTGATGAACTTGCATCTAGGTGAAGTTCTAGCAAGTGAATTGGTCAGGGGCAACACCTCTTCACATCCTGGATAGACACAAATACATCAGCACAAGTTTTGAGTGTAGAAATGGCCAAAATTAGGTAGAGGTTGTTTTGACATTCTTTGAAAAAAAATTAACCAGCTCTGAATTTAGAAGAATGACAAAATCGGTTTATTTTGGAGGCTTCATGATTTTGTTGCAAACTTCTGGCATAGCTGCAGTTAAACATCTTATTTCGGTCTTATAATCTGTGACACATGGCACTTTATGATTTCTCTCAGCACAATGAAATCTGTCTCTCAGCATGCAATCATAAATGTTGCATACAACCCTCGCAAGCAACCTTTGGAGACTTCTCCATAACCCAGTTCATTTATTGTAACAGTGGTCAGCACTGGTGCTAAAAGGAAACCGCCACGTGAGAAGATTGTATTATTATTCCAATATAAAGACCATTAAATGCCAGCCGCTTCCCTCAACACCAGTGCAAAATAAAAAAGCTGAATAAAAATGTTGATTCTAATATGTACTATTGCACACACGGAGGACAAGGCAGAGCAAAGTGGCAGTTAGAATTTCACCGGATCCCTACTCAATTTACTCAGATTGACTATTTTGGACTGTTTTGGACTTACGGCAGAAAAAGTTATTTTAAAAAAAGCAAGACATTTTCAGCTCCAAACGCTACAGACAAATCCACTTCCCACCTAGCCTTGATTGGAACACATCTCTCGCTCTGTAACAGCCTCTTTTACTGCAGTTGAGACACAAATATCCATAAGCAATTACTACCATTGCCTGTGCAAGTCAAACCTATGGTTCTGTCTCTTACCTGTAATCTGACTCTGTCCTTGTGGATTAAAAGGACTTGGTGCAGAGTTCAGAGAGGGCCGTGGGCTCTGGGTCGGGACCCCTACTCTCATACTGGGATGAGGAATGCGCCCTAAATCACTGAGGCGTTCAGAGAACAAACTAGGTTTAGAGTCATCAAGCTTCTGTCTGTGCCCTGGAAACAGCAAATCATAAAATAAAAGCGTTAATAACAAGATTTAGTAATTTAACACACCCCCAAAAAAAACCCCAAATGGCCTCTAAGGACCTGTTATTAGATTTAATGGACTTACAGGTATCTCAGCTCCCCCCGATAACACAGCGACATCGGTGGGGTCATTTGTGTTTTGGGCCTGGTTGTGCTGGTGAAAGTCTTAGCGAATACAACTGTGCCCACACAGATGTGTAACACGTTGCAATTTGGCTCAAAATAAGCACTTATGAGGACACCCACACAAGGTCTTTTTTGTCTTTTTTTTTTGCTGCTTTAACTACACTTGGTAGTTAAAGGGGCAAACTTTCTCTTCCAAAAGCAAGCCTCAAATGTAAGTACACGTTATCAAGGGGGACAATTATTCCATGCCTGGTTTATATGTTGCGGATTTTTGCAAAGGAAATGTAAGCTTTTCTTCTCCCCTCGTTTTTTTTTTTTTTTTTTCTTTAACTCTGTCACAGTTAGTCATTAGCTTTCATTCCTCTGGGAGTTTTTCCAAAAAGTAAATAGTCATTTGAGAAGAGCAGTATCACAAGGAAAACCTTCAAAGCTGCTGGCCAAGACTGGGTCCTTGCATGCTCTGCCTGCCTCACTGCTCCCTCTTCTCTCCCCCAAAACAGGCTAACTGCCCTTGCACCGTATGGCTGCACTGGGAAAAGTCATTTATGGGTGCTCGGTTGTCAAAATGTAAAGGGGAAAAATGGCAAAAGCAACAGGATGCCCCAAATGGTACTGCTCATATTGTCATTGAGATGTTTCAAGAGTAAAGGCTTTCCTTCTCTAATTGTATTTTCGCTCCTAGGTTTAATTTCTTTCCAAAGCAGTTATAGGATGCTCCTCGCCCTATGGTGCCTTTGAATGAGAGGCACAGAAGGTGTTATTTCTATCATTCAACATATGGAGAAACAGGCATGCATAGAGATTAAGGTCAGGACTAATTTTACTTAACTTCAGCCATTCATAAATCAGGCATCTAGTCTAAACTCTTCTAATGTAGACTTCCTCTACAGTTAATGGAAAGAAATAGCTACTTCCAGAGGGCAATTAATCTCATTTGTCTCTGACACCAGTCTTAAAACAGGATGATTCACCTTCTGAATTTGCTTTCTCTTCCTTCTCTGAAGAGAGAGGGAGCACACATGACTAGTTTAATTAGACACTCTCCCCATTAGGCAACATTAAATAGAATGAATCTTACCCTGAGTTACCCACCAAGGTGACACAAAAAGCCACTGGCAGAGCTGAAACGGGGGTCCAGACCCCCTGATTGCAACCCAGAACCACGTCTGCCTCCACCCCTGTCAGCAGTGCCGGGGCACAGGCACAAGCAATGACTGGGTAGGATATTTTTATGCTTGTAACTATAAGAAGGGTTCTTAGTAGGGTTTGCGCTTGAACCCTTCCAGATTATCTGCAGTGGCTTGAGAAAATCCACGCTGCGCCTCAGCAGTGTGAACACAGCCATCTGCCTGCAGGCTACAAGAGTTCATCTTTGCAGCCACGGTCAGATTGTCCCATCAGTTTTAGGGCCAGAGAACCAATTCTGGCACCGGTTAATTTATTTTAAAAGTATAAATGAGGCCACTGAATCTTGAGACTGAACTATCAAACTACCACTCTTAAAAAAATGCCTTTTAATAATACTTCTCACCACAGTACTGACGTACATGGGTCCACATCATCTAGCTGGGACCATGGTGCCTACATGACGCGTAAACAAAGCGATGTCAATGCTATGTAGCTAAATCCAAACTAGATTTGGAGAAATCATGGTTCGAGATAGAGAAGTGAACGATTCAGGCTGGGAGATGAGAAGAAACTGGATGGAATTTAATTTTGTAGAAACTTCTCTAGCAATTTAAAAAAATTAATTAGTTGAGCCATTATTTTGCACTTTGAAGTATGATCTTTCTCTCCCAGGATGACTCAGTCTAAAAGCGTAGGGTAGGCAGGAGCTTTCTCCTTACAGAGAAGGTCCTGCTCTATGTTAGAGCTGACGTGGGTGGCTACTCCTCTCTTTGGGACGTATCAATAACTTTAAATGGGGAATGGTTTTTGGTGGGCTTGTAACAACTCCATAACGGCAGCTTAATTAACAATATAACATCTAACCTGGTAGTCTTTAGCTTTGTCTTTTCACAGAATCACAGAATCTCCTAGATTGGAAAAGACCTGTAAGATCATCCAGTCCAATCATTAACCTAACACTGACAAGCTCACCACTAAACCATGTCCCTGAGCACTGTATCTACACGACACTTAAATGCTTCCAGGATGAGGTCTCCACCACTGCCCTGGGTAACGTGTTCCAATGCCTGATGACCCTTTCAGTAAAGAAATCTATTAAAATTACTACTTGTATAAGCTGGGTGCTGCTAAACCTGAAGAAACAACTTTCACACACACATCAAGTCAGTATTCTCTTGGGATTTCTCCTTCTCCATCTTCTTTTCCCCCACAATTTCTATGTACTTTCTTTTCCCTTTGCCAGTCACATTTTGCCCTCCGTTCTTTAAAAGCATCTCCTTTCCCTCCCCTTTTCTCTTCTGTTCTTTTCTAATCATGTCTTGGCAAATTTAAGAGGGCTCAAAATAAGGCAAATGTGATTAGCCCATCTCTGGCCTCGCACGCCGGGGCTGACTTTATCTGGGAACGAATCCACCTCCAAAGTGAATTTTATTTTGAACTCTCGGAGAAAAATCCTGCTCTATGTTTATACAATTTCCTTTTTGCTAAAGAATCACTAACAAACTGGTGCACAAGCTATTTCAACTGTCTTCAGATAACTCCGTGAACACTTGTTATATAGGTCACCGCTCCAGTACCAACCTGTGCCCGATAACCCCCAGCTTTGTTTTCATCACACTCCGTTTGCCCACGCATAGCTTTGCTGGAAAGAGTTTCTATTTAATTATGCGTATTATTATTATAATGAACTAGGTTTATCACAGAAAGACAAAACTCAGCAGGATAGCAGTGCACTTTAGTTTAGGCAGGGGGAAAAAAGGAAGAAAAAGAAAAAAAAAGAGGAAAAAAAGAAAGAGGAGGAAAAAAAGAAACAAGAAGAAAGATTGCCACATCTGGTTTAATTGAAATGATCTAGACATGTGTGGGTTTGGGTGTTGCCACCCCCCACTCCCCCCCCCCAAAAAAAAAAAAAGGAGGGAAAAGAGAGCTCCATGCACATCTGGAAGACCCCAGGCATCAATGGAACTGCAAGTCCCCAGAAACCAGCAAGGGGCCGAAGGCAGACTTGCCTTCCCCTTCTGGACATTTAAAATTTAGGGTTGTAACATGGAGTCATGTTGTGACAAAGAGATGCACAGAAGGAGCCACACTTCCCCAGTGAAATGTCCCAGTGAGACAAGATTACATTACAGCTTCGCACGTTATGGGTTACTGTGCTTTGATGAAAGCTAAGACGTGCTCACATTGAAAGTTAGCAGGAAACTCAACAAAAACTTCATATTCAGGAGGTGCTCACAAAGAAGTGTAAGCAACTTGAACAAATCTCTTGTCCTGATTCCTGTGCAGGAAAAAAATAAAAAAAAAAAAGTAAAATCCTATTAAGGACAGGGGAGCCATGAGGTATGGGCTGAAAACACTCTAAAAAGGCCTTCTGAGTAGCACATAAGCAGCAGCAATGAAATATGTGATGCATGTTTAAAACTCATTCCACAAGCTGCTTTTCATCTCTCGTTGATATATGTCTCCGTTGACAGAGAAATTCCTAATCCCAAGGGAGTGTGCTAAGAAAAGCTGTATTCCTTGGTCGCAGTCATGAGGTGTAATTTTATTTCAGGAAAAAAGATTAGGGTAGCAAGTGTGGATGGCTCGGGGAGAATCTGTGATCTGCTGCAGCAGTGAGTACATTAAAAAGCAATATAAAGCTACATAAAAAATAGGATAAAATAACGTTGTAGCTATCCTAACGCCCGCAACACTGTGTTTAGTGCTGGTTGCTCTGTTACAAAGACAATTTTGTGGAATAGATTGAGCTGGGAGGGGGAACAAAATGGTTACGGACACGGATACAGGCAGTCTGGGATACAAAATGCAGCCAAAAAGATTTAGGCTGTCCCGTGAGTTACTGAATAAGGACAGGACCCAGCGGCTATTGCAATAGATCAGGTCACAGACAAGGAGATGGGAAAGAGATGAGAAAAATTGAGAGTTCATAGGCAAAAGTTACACAAGCCATTCTGATTCGTCTGTTGTCACAGTAGAAAACATGTTAGATATTAGAAATCCATTATTTGCTCCAAAATGACAAGCAATATTCTGGTCTCTTACCACTACTCAGCTATTTCAAGCCAAACACCAACCTGAGTATTAGTTTCTGGAGACAGAAAGTGTTGCCGTTAATCCACCCCAGTACCAATTTTGGCCATTTTACATGAACCAAACCAGGAAATAGTACTGAGAGAGTGCAATAACGTCAGCGCAAACTGCAGCCAGCCAGACGGTGCCTGCGCTGCTGCTTCAGCTCGCCAGTCCAGGAGGCCCCAGAACATGTTAAAATGGCCCATAGAAGCCAATGTTCAATTATCGCATCCCAGGCATGGCAGAAGATATGAGGAGGCTTCATCTCCAGCGCAATCGTTTCAGTTTAAACTAAACGAAGGAATGCCTTCCAGATCAAAGCAAGGCAATCTCGACTCTGCTGGATGTGGTAACTGGAAAGGGACGTGAGCTCGTCTCTCATCACAGAACTTCCACCGCTCCGCTGGAGAAGTCAAGATGTAAATCGGGCCATGGAAGAGGCTGACTTGCAGAATGTAAATGTGGTGTTGATGCTTGAAGATTTTTACCTCCTCGGGGAGGAGGGGTGTGCGTTTTTATCTTTCAGCTTGTGGGTGTGGAACTGAAAACTAATCAGATTATGCTACACGTGGCCTCGCCAGATGCTGACACTCAGGGACTCCCTTTCTTTGTACCGTGTACACCACCCACCAGTTTTT